CCCTCCCATCCTTTCTCACGCTTCACTTCGGCGCTCCGTTACCGTATTGTGGGTGGTTGGCGGGTGCTCTGACGTGGTTTGCTTCTTCTTTCCTCTCAAACATCTATCGTCCTTATCTGTCCTCTTTTTTGTGTTTGGTATTATTCTCTTGTGACACCTCTAATCTTCGGCACTTTTGTGGCCCGTAAAATGCTTACTTAAACAAAACGTTACCTTAGTGTCTTCTTTTTGGACTCCTACTCAGGCGACTCTGGTTCGAATCTCCGGGATGAAATCTCTGGACTCGGGTTGTTTTTTACTTTTTATTAATTGCACTGCGGGTGGTTAGAGGCGCCACTATCAGGTCCTTCTTCTTTCTCTTTTCCTTCTGCTGTTTCTGTCTGTCTGTCTTGCTTCTTTCCTGCACTATATGACCGTTATTGTGTCGATGCAGTTCTATTTATTCCGTCTCAAACTCTCCTCGTACTCCTTGAAGTAGACGTGTCAATAGGAGGCATCGAATTTTTAAAGTAATTTTTTTTTCTTTTGAAGAAACGTTAGACTCATGCGAAGCTGTTCATGCGCTGTTATTCACTCACTTGCACACGCACTCTGGCCTTTTCTTTTCGCTGAGCACGGGTTGGCACCAACAGACAGGGTCGAACTAAACTGTGTCGATGATGGAGTACAACACCATCATTTTAAAAAAATCGATTAGGTCAGAAGTCCTGAGAGGTGAACGGGCATCAGCTACAGGGACCGATGAAGCGACAAGAGGCCAGATGTGGTGGGACATGGTATGGTTTTTAACGCCTCTTATAACACTGTACATGTAATGTCTTTTTGGAAGCGGGTCCTCCAGATTGGGTGTCCGTCTCCGGTAAGTCGGATCCAAGCGGATGGAGGGCCCGGAAAACCCCAGAAACCACCGACTCCAACTGTGTAAATCCATAATATGTATCATGTTAAGCGCATAGAGCATTGCATAAGTTGATATGCGCTATATAAATGCAATCCATTTATTATTATGATTATTTTGTGTCGCCGGCGGCGCTGTGGTGTGGTTTGCTTCTT